CGCTCCTGCTGCGCTCTTGCACGGTAACAGGTTCTGCACTTTCCGCTTGTGCCTGCAACACAACGTTAATCCTCCTCGTTACTTTCGTTACTACACCTTAATTATACTTTAATACCGAACAAATTCTCGATAAGAACGATCTCTCCGTTAATGAAAAGTTAATCGACGAAGAACTTTCTGTTTAATGCGAGCGAATAGAACCATTATAGTATGAACTTTCGTTGGACTTTCAGTGGGGTAATTAACCCGAGTTCAAGGTAAGTCACTTTCCTTATTAATTCATGTGTTTTCATCGCACTGCCGTACGAGAAAGATAGAACGCGTGTGTCCGTTCCCACCATTAAACACTATTATGTACGGAGGTAATAACTCTAATCGTTCCGAGTACGGAATTGTAAATCTATTGATGTAACTAGGTACCAGGGTGAACGTGCTCTCCCGTGTCCCAAAATATCGACTTCCAGAGCTAACTTAATCTAGACCCATCATTTACGTTCCTAATTCCTACTTTAGCTATAACCTTCATTTAGATTTGTTGGAGGTTCATCGAATTCGAACACCACAATTATGGTCTAAATTTGTTCCAGCCATTACCTTCGTTCACAGGTTACATTTGGATTCGAGGACCTCTTTTTTCGTTCCTAACTCACGCTCGATTTAATCGGACGTTGAATATGGCCACCGAGATCAGTTTTTTCAATTTCATTCTTCTAACCCCCTCTCGAATTAGTTGGAAGTTCATTATACTTCGTATAAATTTCAATAAATTTGATTATTTCAAGAAAATTTTCACGAACAACGCGCGCAAGAAAGGAGCTTTTGACTTGCGCGTTTAAAGGGTAGAAAAGGGTGGTAATAAAACGGTTCCTGGTGTGTGATAAAGCACCCTTCAGCGGCGTAATAATTCTACGGGATCGGAAGTCGGAGAAAGACGAACAAATTTGCTGGCCCTTGGTAAAAAGGCAGAACGGAAGGTCGAGTTTCTCGTTAAAGGTACCTTTATCACGGACAGAAAACCGGGTAGATTCTGGTCTCATCTACGTACACCGGTTGAAAAGTTCACGGTGGAAGAAGCTCGATTTGCGGTGCCTCCGTCAATCTCGCCTTCCATCTTTCCAGGTGGAATTCGCGGAGCAGGAACGAGAAAGATTCACGGACACGCTTTCTCCGTCGGCGCACCGCGCCATATCGCGCAACGCCGCGCCGGCTCGGCAAAGTAGTTTACCCTTCAAGTTTTAATTATCTAATTAACTCCGTCAGTTCGATAATATTTGCCTGTGTAATTAAACCGCCAGCTAAGGTTAACAACTTGTGGCGCACTTCCCGATAGTAGGTCGTCGAGGTGAATGGCTGAGGGAACGAATATCTGTGTGCATTTACACGGGAATAGATCGGGGATGGTGAAGGATATAATAGGCAAATTAATTGCCGAACCGAGACGGGGCTTTCCGCTCTGATTTTTCGTTCGAACCGGGCTACGAGGCGAGGCATCCGTTATTCCTCTCAATTATCCGTAATACCGTTAGACACCTGCCCACTGTTACCCAGATTATCAAGCTCTTTATTTCTTCGATAAAGGTCGAACGTGTCAACCGTGTTCAACGGGAGTGAGCTCCGCGCACTTTGCAAACGTAATCCATTAAGACAATTGAATTGCTCGAGACAACAGCATCGAAATGATTAACCGGACGACGCTATCCAGGTATCCCCTGGAACACAGAGGAAACGAAATTACGCGAAGAGCTGGTCGAGACTTGAAAGATTATCCCGAGTGTGGGCAAAGAGCCAGTTACACCGTAAAACAGCGGTTTAAACGAGAAACTCAAAGTCCAGGGCCGTGTTCCGAGGAACTCGCGGTGACCCCCAGAACGCATCCGAGTTTCACGCTCCACGGTCTGAGCCGAGGTCGGACAGAGACGAGCGTAAACTAGGCATCCTCTGCTTTCTCTACCGGCAAGATTTCAATTTGCCTAATGCCGTCGACTGTCAGCCGTAGAAATGCGACCGCGCTTAGCGTTGCTCTCGACGCGCACCGACCGCCAACACGGTCCGTGAGTTTGCATGCACAGTTGCATGCCCACGGCGCCATTTTCACCTCCGGTATCACCAGAACATCGCACACCGGATGCACGTGGAAAGCGTGGCAGCCGTCCTGCAACCTGGTTCTCGGCTGACTCTTATTACTCTTATTCTTTCTCGTGTAGTTTGGCAAAATTATCGGTATCGGATTAGCTTGTATTTACAGGGAGAGATAGGTTCACATAGACCTTTATCCAGTTTGTGAATCTTAGATTTATGGGAAATTCAGGGAACTAAGAAACTTGAGAATTATGAAATGTAAGATATTTGGAATTTGGAGATGAAAGAAACAGTAAAATTGGAAATCTGCAAATGTTGAGGAGTTAAAAGAATCCACGAACGTGCTTCAGAGTAAAATTATCCCTTTGAATAACATAGCAGGGCTGGCGAAAAACATATCTCTCTAGGATGTATTTTGCGTTTGAATTTAAGGGATGCTCGGTTCGGTTCAATTTCCTGGCCGGGTGTCATCCAGTTCGGTTCAAGGAATACCTGTATATCCAGGAATAGTGGAACGACAACATTACCGATGGTGAAGGAGGAGAATCGTACGAGTTATGAAAGGTAAAAGGGTGCGGGTGGGCGGACAAGGGGGTGGAAAGTCGTTTATCGAGTCGACAGGCTGGGTGTACCCAGGCGCATTGATATGCAAAATTTGTAGTTTCGAGAAGCTTACGAGAAACTCCGGCGGCAAGTAAACTTGAAAATCCGATGCGCTCGGGCAATGCGGGGGTTGGCTTTAACCGGTTCCCGCTTCCGGCACGAGGTTTCACGTACGCGTCGTGTCGGCTGTCCCGAACGAAATACCTTTAACACGCTTCTAAATATTCAGACGACATTTTTGCGGGTTCTGAAACACGTGTGAAGGCATTTTGTTCCTCCCCTCGCTAACTGCGTGACTGGTTTCATAGCTATTACTCGGGGCTTCTTAATATTTCATAAACGATATCTTCATTTTCGGACTATTAATTTTCTATACTCCTACTCTAAGGTATATCTCTTTTAACATACACTCCTATATACGTAGTTTCTACTTCTCGATTAAGAAGTGCAACTTTCACAGAAAGTAGCAGTCTAGTTGAAACGCAGTTCATTCGCGATTATACGGAAGTCTGCAAACGACTGAAAGCGAGGCGAGTTGATACGCGTTTTGCGTGTTCTCGTCGCACGCAGCGCGTAATGCGACGAGCTCAGTCGAGCCGTGAAAACGCTCTGGAAAGACTGAAAGACGAGCTGCGAGGGCAGATAGAAACAGAAAAGGCAGTTAATTAGTTCGAGTTAAAAGATCCGCTTAAATGACCTATTCAACGCTTAGTGACAGCGAACTCGTTCCACCTCGACGCAGCTTTTCGAAGAAAGCTTGAGAAACGAGGCAAAGGAGAGGAGGTTACTGCGAGGTGTTGTACGTCTTCGTTATATTCGGAATGCGACGGTGTGCAGACGCAACAGGGGATTACATTACGAGGGTAACAGAGTCGAAGGGTAGGTTTCTTTAAAATTAAGTTAAACCTTTTTTGCCAGTCGTATTGTACGGATAGGGGATTGATGTTAGTTGACGAGAGAGTTGGTTGACCAGAGCGGGTTTGATTGGAAACGTTTGCAAGTTTCTGTCTATGTATTTCTGTGGTCAGCAATGGCTGCTCAAAGTCCATCAGAAGCAATTCCCTGCGGCCCTTCGATGTCCATCAACGAAAACTTGCTTCAATATCTAGTTCTAATTGCCAACGTAAAGTACTTCGCAAACGAGAGAGTCCGAAGTTGAAAGATATCAGCGGAATTTGAATTTCGAAATAGTCAAACTGGTCAAAGTTTTATAGACTGATCCGCTGGAACGTTTTAATACGCAAACGCGTAGATAAATAGAAAGCGAACCGAACCGGCCATTGTGCATGCAAAAGAGGAAACGTAAATCCAGGAACATATATATAGAATAAGAGGAAGAGGGTAGTGGCGAAGCCCTTGGACAAATGCGTGTAGCAGTGTTCGAAAGGTCGACACTCCACAAAGCTCTTTATGGTCCGTTATACGACCGCAAGCTCGCGATACCGTGTTTAGCATGGGTACGCGATCACGAACACGACTAGCCTATTCCAGGTGCATTCACGGTCCCAGTGTTTCTCATGCTATGCACGTTTTACGACTTTGTTCGCTTTATGATTTGTCGAAACTCGAAATTTACGCATTTCTTTCAAGTTCCTTAATGCCGATAGCGATGGAAACAAACTTGTCAACGGAACCCAAACTGTCGGCGCAAGAATGGAGTCATTTTGATCCCCATGAAAGGTTGCCGTGTTATTTTCAGATACAAAATTTGTCGCAATATTTAAAGTCGTTGATGTTAAACTTCCCGTGTTCCGAAAATGACCAGAAACAACGTGGAATACATTTCCAGTTGTTTGTGCGTGCAGACGCTTTATAGCCCTTCAAACTTTATGGGTCCTTTCGGGGGTCGGACCTTAGGCCACGCATAAATCCCTCTGATTTATCTCGACGAGCATACAGGGAGTCGTGCAAAACCGAATTCAACTGTTTGTGCAGGCAGGGATATTGTTTTGCCGCTATCACGTCGGGCGTAGATCGGTATACGCTTATCAGGAAGGGTTAGCACGGCGGTAGCATTATTTCCGTCCGGTCGAGTCACCCACCACCTGAGGGTTATCGGTTTGCGACCGATCTGCGCTCTTCCTCGTCGCTGACTGCCGACGATCAATTTACAAATGTATCTTTTTCAAAATACATCAGCTATGCTTATAATCAACTCATCAAGACACTACATTTATCGTTTCATTTTTGCAAACATAAAAATTTTAATAGAACTTCGTCATTGTTTGGTCTGTACGATTATCTAAATCATCCAGATTTGCTCTTGAGTGGGGTCATTTGATGTATGTATGTATGCATGCATGTATGTATGTATGTATGTATGTATGTATGTATGTATGCATGTATGTATGTATGCATGTATGTACGTAT